GGTATGATATAAATTTATCAAACAAAGAACTCAAAAACCGTAATCTAATAAAATTGATGATATCGCAGTCACAAAGGATGAACTTGTAGCATTTAAATATTGTCAAAGTGCAGTGATACTTATCGGTCTTTTGGTTGTATCTGACGAACTACTCCTTGATGAATTAATTGAAGGAAAAGCTGGTTATGGCCTCAGAAGTTTCAAGTTTGCTATTGTTATCATCATTATGGAATTAGTACTAGCATGATTATTCAAGTTTTAGATAGGTCATATTAGTTAAATCGAAATAGAAATGCAAAGAATTTGTGCAAAAAAAATTTTTTTTTTTTGATTTCATTGACTTAAAAATTTTTTTTGAGCCTTAAAAGCTAAGTTTACTAATATACAATCTTTTAAATTTCACATATTAAATATTCAGATTATTATTATTTTTTAATTTACGTTGATATTTTTTAGCTTATAATACGATATTAAAGAACAAATCTTGAATTTAACTAGGCAAGTATTGTAATATATTAATTTTAATTGATTATAAATACTGATCATTTTACACTTCACAATAGAAAAAAAAAAAATACAATAGTAAGTTCATCATCTTTCACTGAAACTTGGTTAAATTCAATAGTCATTAATATATAATAATATATTCTTGATTTAAAAAATAATATAGATGCTAAATTAAAAAATGATCAGACCTGAATAATTATAGATTTAAATATTATGGTGCCTTAACGTTTTAATCTTTGTAAGTATAATTTTAAGAGATTCGTAATCCTATATCAGGCTATATAGAACTGCTAAATCAACATATTTTTCTATAATAATGAACAAAAGGAATCTCTCTGCTGATTAGATATATAATATGGTTGTGATCTGACTCTTTTTTTTTTTTAATTACGGCATTACTACTTAGTTAGGTTTTGGAAATCGGCATCTTGATTTGGGCTTATAACCAAATCCAAATATATTCCTTTTCAATAATAGTGTCAAAATAAAAAAACTACTGATTCATTAAATATGCGTGTATTTAAGGTAGTATTAAAACTTTAAATTATTCAAAAAAATGTAAGCTTTTAATCAGGTTCAAATATTCAAAAGATCAAATTTAATTAAGAACCAAATAAGACAGTTAATAAATAATGTCAAAAACAAAGTGCAACGAAAAGTATTTTAATAGCAAATGAAGTGGTATGTCTGATTAGATAATCTATCCTTATAATTTCATCTTGGGATATCTATATTTATACATCGTAGTGTATTAATAAAAAAAAAATGCAATTAGATGTTGTATTATCTAAGAAGCATAATTCTATATAATAAACATGTCAATAAATTTCCTCGTCTAGTTATTGATTTAAAGATAAAAACTTTATTGTCATGATCTTTAAATTTGACATGAGCAAATTATACCTGTTTTTGTCCATAGTTCTACCTTCTATCGATGAGAACGTCTAAAACATAGATTTTTATAATATATGTTTTATCGAATTAGCTTTAGTTATGGTCATCTTGGATTAGAGTTAGAGTAGGTCTAGATTGTTATATATAAGCAAAATTGCCTTTTCGACATTTTTACTTACCCAAGCTAGTTTTAGACTATTATTTTTTTTTTTTTTGATTACGTATTAATTTTTTTTTTACATCAAAATTCTATAATTTGATTGGTCAGATATCACGTGATTCTGCACCACTTTAGACGACCCCCTAGTTTGGGCCGGGCCTAATTTGGAGCAAACCCGGCCCGGCCCATACTCTGAAATTTTTTTTTTTACCGGGCCGGGCTTGGGCTCAAAAATATTTTTTGGGTTTGGGTTTTTTTTAGGCAAGCCCGGCCCGGCCCGGCCCATTCCGTGCCCTACGTACTGTACGTACCAAAACGGTATTTTTTTTTCTGTGAAAACTTCCCCCCACAATGTGTCACATTTATGACTGCAACATTTTATGACGATATGTGATTGTAGCTTTCCCCGTTACAATTTTCAAAATATTTTTGGATGACGACCTACTCTCGTAACTAAAATTGCACCTAGAAGAATATAAGTCTGAAATTAGAACATGGCTGACCCCGCCGGGATATAATTGGATTTTTTTTTCATCATGTAACTTATAATTATTGGTTAAATTATCCCCATGGATGAGATTTTCTAGTGACCGAAATAGTGAAAGTATTGAGACATAATTCTAGCTATTTACATTGAGAAGATTAATAATAAAGGGACAATTCAATAACGTTGACTTATTGTATATAAATTTTAAAAAATTTTTCTGGTAAAAGGCTTGCGATTTTTTTTAAAAAAGGGTTGCACTAAATTTCATTTAGGCTGTTTATGTTTTACAATCGGTTACAACTAGAGTTGCTGGTGAAACTAAATTGTGCTGGTGAAACTGGTGACTATCTAAAATCTGATTGGCTATTGCACTCAATAGCCAATCAGAATTTAGAAAGTCACCAGTTTCACCAGCACAATTTAGTTTCACCAGCAACTCTAGTTACAACTTTATTTTCTTGATAATATTATAACTATTATATATTTTAAAAGATTCCAATTATATTCTTAACGCATTTATCAACTTTTAGTAAACAAATGGCCTAAGGCAATTTACTTAGAAAATTATTTCATAATAGATTTTATTAATTTAATAAGCATGTACGTTAACCTTCAATACATTATTATGATTGATTACCTCTATATATTTTCAAATATCTTCGATACAAATGTTATTTTTAAAAATAATTGTACCTACGCTATGTATTCAAAGACTATTGGTTGATGTAACTAATAAGTTTGCTAGTATGAATCATACTATCTTTCGTATCACTAAAGCCATTATTTTCAATCACCATTTCTTTATCAGATTTTAAAAATTCGACCAAAATTTCAGTATTGTCTTTCCAACTTAAAATGGCTTCATGAATTTCTGTGGCTGATGGTCGTTTATTTGGATCTTTATCCCAACATTTCTTCAAAAGATTTGCATAACATGTTGTTGTACCTTTAAGGATATTGGGCCTTAATTCATTAACACAAATTTCTATAGCTAAGCTTTGTTCATTATCTTTATAGTCGGAAAATACAACATTTCCTGAAGAAATCTCCCACATAATCATTCCAAAAGAATAAATATCAGACGCTTTAGTGAATGATTTTCCTTGCAAAACTTCCGGAGCTATATACGGTACAGCTCCAAAAATTCCTCCTGATTCTTTGTCTAATGTTTTATTAATCGATATTGCAAACCCTAAATCTCCGATATAAGCATTGTGTAAATTATTTTGAAATATGTTACCACTATGCAAATCACAATGAATAATATTATTCTCGTGGATTAATCGGAGATCGGATGCAATATATGATAACAGTTCTAATTTTTTCTCCCATTTCATTTGTGCAATTTCATAAAGATTCTTACGTAAAGATCCCATTTCTGCACATTGCATAACTAAAATATAATCATCTGTGCCCTCATCTTGTGATATTCCATGGCATTGTAAAAAACGTGGGATTTTTAGCTCCAAGATTGGAATATGCAATTAACTTTAAAATTACAATTATTAATAAATGAATCATAATATAATTAAACTTATATAATTTTTAGTTATAGAACATTTACCTCTTTAATAAGTTCTTCACAGCGATATTTGGATCCATTAAATAATTTGAGTGCAACAGTTTGATTTAATTCATAACTGTCTGTTGTTTTGTGTTTCCAATTAGCAGCATACACAGTTGCAAACCCGCCTTTTCCAATTTTTTCTATAAATTCTAATTCATTAAATGGAATCCACGATATTGATAAATTATTATCAGATAATAATTTTTTTAGAGAATCATTAAGACTTTCATAATTAGCCATCCTTTTATAATCGTTACTTTTCGCTTTTTGTAACCATTCAATAGCCTTTTTTTGATTAGGCGATATTCCATAGCCATTTCGATAACATAATCCAAGTTCATATTGTCCGGCCGAATTGCCACTTTCAGCAGACTTCATATACCATTCAAATGCTTTTTTTTCATCCTTAGTTGTACCTTTGCCGTCCTGATAACATAATGCAAGATTATATTGTGCAATGGAATTGCCTCCTTCAGCAGATCTTAAATACCATCCAAATGCCTGTTTTTCATCCTTATTTGTGCCTATCCCATGCCTGTAACAGAGTCCAACATTATATTGTCCATTCGAATTGCCACCTTCGGCAGATTTCAAATACCACTCAAATGCCTTTTTCTCATCCTTGGCTGTGTATTTGCCATGTAGATAACAGACTGCGACAATATATTGACCATTCGTACTTCCACCCTCAGCAGATTTTAAATACCAGTCAAATGCCTTTTTTTCATCCTTGGCTGTGCCTATGCCACCTTGATAGCAGAGTCCAACATTACATTGTCCATCCGAATTGCCACCTTCAGCAGATTTCAAACACCACTCAAATGCCTTTTTTTCATCCTTGGCAATGCCTATACCATTTTGATAGAAGGATCCTACTTTCAATTGTCCATCAGGATCGCCACTTTCGGCAGATTTCAAATACCACTCGAATGCTTTTTTTTCATTCTTGATTGTACCTATGCCATTTTGATAACAGAATCCAACATTATATTGTCCATTCGAATTGCCACCTTCAGCAGATTTTAAATACCACTCAAATGATTTTTTTTCATCCCTAGTTGTGCCTACACCATTTTGATAACAGAATCCAATATTATATTGTCCATTCGGATTGCCACCTTCAGCAGATTTCAAATACCATTCAAATGCCTTTTTTTCATCCTTATCCGTGCCTACGCCTCCATCATAGCAGATTCCAACATTATATTGACCATACAAATCTCCACTTTCGGCAGATTTTAAATACCATTCAAATGCCTTCATATGATCCTCGGTTGTGCC